ATCTATCTATCTATCTATCTATCTATCTATCTATCTATCTATCTATCTGTCTATCTGTCTGTCTGTCTGTCTGTCTGTCTGTCTATCTTACCGTTAAATTTAATTTATTCCTGTCTTCCTTTACTCTAGTCTTCAGTGTCACATTCAGAAATCATTCTAATATGCTGACTGGGTGCTCAAGCAACAATTATTATTATCAATGTTGAAAAGAGTTGTGCTGCATTAATTTGAAATAAATCTTTTGAAATGTTATACATTTCTTTACTGTCACTTTTGATGCAATTTACAGTTCCCCTTCAGGAACTCGAGCTGCGTCGAAGTCGCTTTGGGAACGCCCCTGCGTGACCTCGTTCTGAAGCACGTGTCAAATCAGCCCATTGGAATAGCGAGACGTCACAAGCTGGGTGACGTAAGCACCAGAAAGTATAAAAGCGCATCCAGCAGAGCGCAAACCAGCTTCTGCTCTTCAGTAGCGCTCTGTGTATGTGTCTGTCTATTTACTGTTGTCTGTCCGCACAAGCATATATAAAAAACAATCATAAAAATGTCTATGGCGAGCGAACGGCATTACAAACGCTGTGTTCCTCCCTGCCCACGACATCTGGCGGCGGAGGATACACACGATTTGTGTGTCGTTTGTTTGGGAGCGGAGCATGTACGGTCAGCTTTCGAGGGAGCTGATTGTCATCACTGCGAGTTACTCTCGCTGTGTATGCTCCGCTCTCGCCTGGCTGTGTTTGATGAGAGCGGCCAGGCTCGCGATCCCGCTGGCAGGGGTCCCGCTGTTGCCGAGGCACAGCGCAGAGTGTGTTTCGTCCTGTTTCGTTTGGCCAGCCTAGAAACAGGACGCTCGTCCTAAAAATAATTAGACAAGCGTTTTCTGAATCCAGATCACAGCCTTCACGACGGGGGCCTTCCGTTTTTCCCCGATCTCCATGCTGAGGTGTCAAGATCGTGGGAGAAACCGTACTCATCCCGTATTTACAGCACCACAGTCTCGAATGATTCAAAATAACATCATGGGGCTGAATGATAAGGGATATGGGGCGATGCCAGTGGTGAAGCAGACGCTTGCGAGCTATCTCTCCCCATTCTCAGCATCGTCCCTGAAGGCCCTGAAGCTTCCCACCAGGCCCGTTAGGTTTACATCAAGTCTGGTTGGGAAAACTTATACGGCGGCAGGTCAGCTATTTGTTTGTTTTGGTCCGCCAAAGAATGGATCTCCGGCAACCAAGCAGACCATGAGTAGCTGGGTGGTCGAGGCCATCTTACTAGCCTACGAGTCCTCTGGCCTCCCGTCACCTATGGGGGTCAGAGCGCACTCGACCAGGAGTATGGCGGCCTCCAAGGCTTTCAACTTGGGTGTGGCCTTGCAGGACATTTGTGCTGCGGCGGGCTAGTCCTCTCTGCACACTTTTGTCCGTTTTTACAACCTAGACCTGGCATGTACCCCAGGTTCCCAAGATCTCTCTTCGTGATGTGCTCGCAAGATACACACACAGTCAGGGACTTGGTAGTATGGCGCAGTGGGTATTCTCGTTCCCAAATGACTTCAACACAGCTCGAGTTCCTGAAGGGGAACGTCTCTAGGTTACATATGTAACCATGGTTCCCCGAGGGAATGAGATGCTGCGTCTCTTTCCCATACTCCCTGCATCCCTCCAGGCGCTACTTCATCGAAGCTGGTTTACGCTCTGCCGGATGCCCTTTGATACTTTCTGGTGCTTACGTCACCCCGCTCGTGACGTCTCACTACTCCATTGGACTGATTTGACACGTGCTTCAGAATGCGGTCACGCAGGGGCGTTCCCAAAGTGACTTCGACGCAGCGTCACCTTCCTTCGGGGAACCATGTTTACATACGTAACCTAGAGACGTTTTTCTCAGTCACTTTGGTACATTTCTCAGATCAGAATTGAAATTCTCAAAACTACCTGTTCAATCTTCACATCATTGTGTCACTTGTGCATATCAAAAAAGCAGTTTCTCATTTCTTTGAACAAGTTGCAAATGCTTTGGTACGTTCATGCAAATGATTATGTACACTTCTCTGCTGTTTCCTACATTATCAATTGCTTATGTCATGTTGATTGAAATGTATTATAATGGGTCTCTGTTGAATAGTCTCACCCCCCACAACATTTATGCATTAGTTCATAGCATAAGTCTTTACATGCAAAATGGTTGAACAAGTTGTCATAATATGTCAAGCATATTTCTATACATTTCCATTAGACTTTTTTTCTAAATCTGTCCTGCATTGGTAAATTGCTCCCAGGTGAATCTTGATTTTCTCTAACGAAGGTGCATCTCATGAACCATCAACTGGCAAGCATATATATAGCTGGAGCACAATACAATGTTTCAATGTCTGACAGTGGAAGAACAAGGAATTGGACGGGGTCAACAGCCAGAGAGAAGAAGAGGAGTGAGGCTGCGTGGTGGAGGAGGCAGAAGAGGCCAAGGACATATGCGTGTTCCTGATGAGATAAGAGCCACACTTGTATCATGTAATCATGGGCTAACAATGGCCGAGGCTGGTCGAAGGGTGCAGCCAAATGTTGGGAGAGCAACTGTGTCCTCAATAATTCAGACTTTTTTTCGACAGAACAGGTATGTAATCTAACAATAGGCACTGTACTGTAATACTGTATACTTTCTGTAATGCTTCATACAATATTACAATATTCACCTTGCATTTTACAATATACAGTAAGTATACTTTAAACAGTGATATTTTATCTTACTCAATTTTGTGTTTTGCATTACTATATTTTTTTCCACATAGGACTGCAAGACAACTTCACGGGGTGGCAGAGGGCCCCTTTTCACACCTGAACAGGAGGAGGCTATTTGCACCATGGTTGTAGAAAACAATGCCATAAGACTAAGGGAGATAAAGAGTGCCATTATAGAGGACAACAATATCTTTGAAAACATCCAAACAGTCAGCATCTCAACCATTGGGGTGCTGAAAAGACACCAAATGAATATGAAGCAGCTGTACACTGTTCCATTTGAAAGAAATGGTGAAAGAGTGAAGGAGCTGCGCTACCAGTATGTACAGGTAAAACATGTATGAGCATGCAGCAACTGTACCTCACAGTAAACAGTACAACATCGTATAGTGATATACAGTACAGTAAGTGTGACCTTTACACATTTGTTATGGCTGTAGAAAAGAAGATGCAATATGTGCTGTATACATTTGATGTAACTGTATCTTGGCCGAAATGAAAATCCATGTAACTCATAAAACTCATTTTGTGTCTTCTGGATATAGCGTATAATGGAACTGGAAGCAAGTGAACCACCGCACAGCTTCATCTACATGGATGAGGCTGGCTTCAACCTAACAAAATGCAGAAGGCGTGATCGAAATATCATCGGCCACAGAGCTACAGTTGATGTGCCAGGCCAACGGGGCGGGAACATAACCATGGGTGCTGCTATCTCTGAGAATGGTGTGCTAACGCATATTCCCATTATTGGGCCATACAATACAGAGTGTCTTGTCACCTTTTTAGACACTCTTTACAGGGATCTCATCCCTGAACAAGAGAGGGGTCAGATTGGAGATGACCTGCCAAAGTACGTGATAGTTTGGGACAATGTCAGTTTCCGTCGCTCCAACATCATCAGGCAATGGTTTGCAGCCCACAACAGGATGCTGATGGAGTTCCTCTCACCCTACTCTCCATTTCTTAACCCCATTGAGGAATTTTTCTCAGCATGGAGATGGAAGGTATGTGATCGCCAGCCACATACACAGATGACCCTTCTGGCTGCCATGGATGCAGCGTGTGATGACATCACAGCAGATGCCTGCAGAGACTGGATAAGACACTCTAAAAGATTCTTTCCATGCTGCATCGCAAGAGAAGATATTCATTGTGATGTGGATGAGAATTTGTGGCCCAACAGACCAGATCGTCAGGAGGTGTAGGAAGACTGCACTGTAATTCCTATAGCACTGCATGTACAGTTTTCCTTAAGGAGATTGTCCTATGTTCACATTTCTACTTTTGTTTTTTTTTGTTTGTGCTATGCAGTGCTGTCTTTTCCTTTCCGTGTCGCAATGACATGGTCTGTCAACAAATTACAGTAAAAGCATAAATGTGAATCTTGTCCAGTCTCTTGCAATCAAACTCCCACATACACTAAGGTGTAACCTACAATTTACAATAATTGTCATCAAAACTGTAGCCATAGTTTACATCAGAACATCCCTCCAGAGAACACAGTTATACTGACAACATGACTAAGCAATTTGACTGTCTTATCCGTACACAAGGACTTGTCATTCTGATGGCACTGACATGTTCATTGACACAGATATTTATTTTTGAGAGATGAACTAAGGATTTTGAGCAAGAGACTGGCCTTTTGCAGGTAATCCATGGTGTTTTGTTATTTGTACGAGTTGTTTTGAGAAATGCACTTACTGTTTTGCAAATGTCAAGGATGATTCGAGAAATGTACCAAAGCGACTGAGAAAAACTGTAAGTACCACAGCTCAACTGGTAGAATAAAATAACAATGAATGAATATTTCATGCTATGCTGAATAGGAAATGGAAAGCTTATTGGGAAACTCTTTTTTTCTGAACTCCTTCATACACCAGTCCATTACATAATGTTTCAATCACAGAGCTGAAGAAAGAAGACTTTCTCTTTAAACACGGTTGGGGGCAGTTGCACTCATTTGACGCATGAGACACTGGAGCTTCTTCCTTCGAAGTACTTTGAAGAGCGTCCTTCTATTTGATGCGGTACCCAACTGAGCCAAAGCAACTGAGTATTTAGTGATTCAGCAGCCTGCAGATGTGTGCGTTCAGCATTAAAACTTGCAAGGAATCAAATATAGTGAATTTACTATGAACTCTCAAATATCAAAACAACAAACATTGGAGAGATTAAACAGAGATTAATTATTTGAGACAATGTATTTGCTCAACTACAAAGGCAAAAAAAAAAACACTCGTTCATGGGAACTCTTACCTTTGCAATCTGCACGCACCAGTTGAGCAGCAGCTGGGAGCCGATGTTCTCCTGGTGTTCATGTACGTAGTCCAGCAGGCAGCCGTGGGGCATGAGCTGAGTTACCAGCTGAATAGTGGGACTCAAGCAGACCCCCAAAAGATGGACCAGATGAGGATGCTCCATGCTGGCCATGATCAGTGCTTCCTAGAAGACAAAAACAGAAACACTGAAAATGTGCTGTTTTCATCAACACCCTCGATATGCAGTATGTAAACTCTAGGTCCAATTAGTATTACGAAGTAGGGTAGGAGCCAAACTAGCGTTTATCGCCAACTACCTAACAATACAATACATATTGGGAAAGAAAGGACAGTAAAAGCATTTATGATGTTACAAAACATTTCCACTTAAAATAAATGCTGTTCTTTCAAACTTTTTATTAATCAAAGAATCCTAAAAAAAGATGCATGAAGGTTTCCACAAAAATATTAAGCAGCACAACTGTTTTCATCACTGATAATAGTAAGAAATATTTATTGAGCAGCAAATTAGCATATCAGAATGATCACTGAAAGATCATGTGACACTGAAGACTTTTGATTAAATAAATGCATAAGAGCATAAGATACTTTTTTCAAAACCTTACCGACCCCAAACTTTTACGATAGTGTACATTTATACAATAATGCAGTTACAGAAAGTAATTGCAAAACAAACATGGTTTAAAAACGTGTCATTCACCTGACCCATTGCATTCAATACAAACTTTAAGATAGGGGTGTCAAACTCAGTTTCTGGTGGGCCACAACCCTGCAGGGTTTAGCTTAAACCCTAATTAAACACACCTGACCCAGCTAATCAAGTCATTCAGGTTTATTTGAAAACTATATGGTTTGTGTGTTGGAGCAGGGTTGGAATTAATGATGCATTCGATTTAACTCGGAAGTTGGATGTCGGAGCTGAGAATGCCATTACACCCAAGTGGACTGTGTTCCAGTACAGCAGTGGCTTTCCAACTATTGGAACAACTAGAGCGACCCAATTATTATTATAATTTTTTTTTCTTTTTAAATTGACGCAACTCATATATATAAACTTTGCAGCATGTTCACCACCGTTGGTCCTCTTAGCATCATGACAAACAAAACTTTTATTCAAATTCTGATTGGATTATATATAGCCAATAATATATATATAATCCCTTAATAATCACTGAAAAGCTGTCACTCATTTCAGTTTATCGCAATCTCAGAAAATTCAGTTAATAATAATCAATTAATCTCTCTACATTGTACAATAAATATCTTATTTACATCATGTCTATACTTTGTTTGTTACAATGAGAGGATGAGCTTGCAGAACTCAGGACTGAACAGAACACCTGTGTTTTGAGCAGTGAGTGGATTCTGATTAACAGAAACACTCTGATTGGCCATTGCGTTCAAGAAATCAACAGATATGTCTGTGATAGGCTACAATGTTCAAAGCTGCAAAAACACGTTGTAAACCTTTGATGCTCTCCAGAGCGCAAACAGAGAGATATGCACTGGAGTCTGCTGTGAGGTGGTTTTACATTAATTTTGTTGTTTGTTATTAAAGTTATGTTTGCTGGTTCACGCTTCCTTCTTCCCAGAGTCTTGAGCTTTGTTGCATACATATATACATTTTACTTAAATCATCCTGACGACCCATTTTTTGTGTCGCGACCCATGGTTGAAAACCACTGCAGTAGAGAAGTCAGAAAACATGTAACAGAGTTCACTCATGTTAGCATTAGCAGTGTTAGCAAAAACAGAGCATTACACTGCATTTTGTAACTGCAGACACTCCCACACACCATAGCAACATATTCACAGATAGAGGTTGGGCAGTAATGACTCAATAATGACATGTGAATATAACAGAAATGCATAGTATTGAAGTATTTATAGCTTTCACTTTTTCTCACGTAGGGAGCAGCCATTTTGAATTCTCAACTTGGGGTTGAGTGAGATAGACCGAGTTCCCAAGAGTGAGCGTTCCATTTGGAAAACCCAACATGGAGCTCTGAATTTGTCTGAGTTTGACACCCCTGCTTTAAGATAGCATCTCAAAGTCATATAGCCTTAAAAGCAATAGCTTAACTTGGTTAGTCTAATGTTAAATGTATTTAACAATGCATGTAATTGCCAGAAAATATTGCGTTGCTTAGAGTTATTTGATTTGCACTTTGGGTGAAATGGACATTCTCAGTAAATCCATTCAGTTGTCTGTTCTTGCATTCTTATTTTGCAAATGATGGTAAAAAGTAAAGTAAAGTAAGGTTTAATTGTAAATTACTCACATCCATAATCTCCACATTGGCTTTAGGTCCTGTGCTTTCATTGAGTATCTTTATAGCCACTGGAATCTTCACCGTTTCCCCTTCTGGAACCCAGACTCCCTTATAAAGAAGATGACAGATGAAGTCGATTACATGCTAAATTGTAAAAAATATATTGTTGAGAAAACACAAAACTCATATAAACACAAAAATCATAAAAGTGAATGTAGTACCTTGTAAACAGTGCCAAAGGCTCCTGTTCCCAAGATCTTTACCCTCTTGAGCTCCGTTTCCTTCAGTATACGTAACTGTGCCTGGTTGGGCGCTGTGCCGCTTGGCGTTAAAGGCTCCACCAGCTGCTCAAAAGACACAAGCAACATCAAAATCACTCAGCATAATCACAAATTCACACATAACTACAATGTCTACTTCAGTTTGATCCACCAGTCACAGGTTAGCTCTATAATAGACTCATGTTCTGTCTGATAATATTATTGTCATCATGTATGAATGTATTCATTTGATTATAGTCTGGGTTTTGCCTATTTTAAGTTTTCAGTTTGCATTGCTCAGTCTTTGTTCTCCCCTTCTTTACTTCTCAAATTAAGCCTGTGCTTATACAGAGATTCTTTCAGTGACATTATTTAACTTGACTCACCATTTTTACTCTGATCTTTAGGCTTATCAAGAGGTTAATGAAATTGCTTCTAATCTCAGAACCGAGTTCCAATTTCATATCCCTTCAACAGAGATTTTAGGACCCCAAACTCAAAACTACAAGGCATTTTGACATCATGTTCAACCCATTTCTCAATTTTAAAGACCATACAGTTTACAATTTACAAGAACAATACAGGAAAATACAACAAATACTATTGTTTACAATACTGCATTATATGTAAGACTCCCTCTCTCTTTCTTTGCATGTGTGTGAGGCAATTCGTTCGCCTTTACACTAGTGTTTACAGTAGGTCAAATACAGGTACGCTGCACATCCATTGTGATGAATTGAAAAATAGCACAGGTCGCTTGACGTAAAGTGAAACTCTGAAGAACTCAGTTAGAGTGTTCGGCCTCCAACTCACACACTGCTGAGCAAAATCTAAGAATTTATAAGGCAATGGCTAATGTTAGACATCATTTAGTCGCATATGCGAGTGATTTATTCACATTGTAGAGGGTTGACTTGCCACTAAAACCTTTGCCAAATTACAATACCTTTAAAACCATACACAATTTAGTTGATAAGAGTTTTCACAATTACAAAGCACAATTCATATCACCTTACAGTGGTTGCCCATCTCATCATGTATTCAAATACTGTACTTTTCTTAACCTTCAAGGCTTTTCATAGTGTTTGCATTATCTATGTGAGCTACTGCATCCACATATTCCTGCACTAATGTCCGGACCTCTAAGTTCAGATTGATACTTTTTTCCTAGATTTCAACCCTTTTGGGTGACAGATCTTTAAGTGTTTAGGCAATTCACTTCCATTGACACTTTCCAATATCTTTCCATTTCCACCTTTAAACCTCAACCAAACACTTTCACAACATTAACCCTTCCATTCCTAAGTTCTCATTCTTCTTTTTCTGTTAGTTTTCCTTTATTTATTTATTTTGATTGCAAATACACTTTGACCTCTAGAAAATCACCATTTAATTAAAACGCCCAATGGTTGCCATGGACAGACCTAATTTCCAAATAGTTTAATTAATATTAATCCTGATATTGAGTTTTCTTGCCGAAAAAAAGAAAGAAAAACACAGCAAATACACCTTCAAAACTGGATTTATCTGCAAGAAATAGATACTGAAACAGCAGATCAATTTAGTGCTTTACACTCCTTAACACCTAACAGAACTGCAGATTCCATAATATTGAGTTAAACTTTATATCAAATGCACATACTCACACACATACTGGCTGCAGGACATTTTGAAGAACTTTCATAAGTTTTCATTTAAGGATCTGAAAATGATCTCCATTATTCCTTTTGAGGGTTCCCACCATTGAAGTGAGAGGGGCACTTTCAAATGAAAAATTGAGAGTGGTTATAGACCCATCCATGCACCACCACACCAATTTCACTGGCCAGGCTTTCTGTCTGCATTTTTTATTTTCTC